AACAATTGATTTTGTCAGCTATCATTTCAAAATGGCCTGTTTTCTTGAATGAGATTAATTAATACGTAACGCTTGAATACGGTTCAAAATAATAATAATCGTTCGAGAATGAGCTCATAAAGTTTGTGAATTCAGATTTACAGGGAGATACATAGACCCATTACAAAAATTATTATTTTCGAAGTTATAGCAATCATAATTATGGAAATATGACGTTTTTTTGAAATGTCCTCAATTTCAGCTAATCTGTTCATAAAATGAGAGAATTTATTCATGAAATCGATACAGGCAGGAGGTAATCACTTCAATTCCTTCGATATTTAGCGAATATCGATCTACAGGGTGATTGTAATTTGAACTTTGAATACTCTATATTGAAGTAAAATTTTATATCATTCCTGATATTATTTTTGATCGTCTGATGACATGTTAACACAATATTTTTTTTCTACTTTTGTACACTCATATAGATAAAAAAAAAACAGAATCAGTTCAGATTTTTTATCTATTGTCCCCGAGAATATATGAAATGCAAAAGAAACTCATCATTTAAAAGTTAAAAATTATTCACGTTCGCATAAAATAATTAAAATTCCGGTCATGGACAAATTTTACTCAGAGGTGCTACAAGAAAATATGAAATATGGTGGTTAAAAAGCCGGTAAATCAATTTTACTATTACATAGGTATAGAAAATACACTTATCAAATACAGTGAGTAATTCAACTGAATATAGCAGTCAGGGCCGATCCTAGCGGGTGTGCAGCGCGTGCCCCGCACGCGGGCGGCCAAAACAAGGGGCGGCCGCAGGCCGCATATTGTCCTATCAAACAAAATTATTTGAAACTCATAAGTCGAATGAATATGCTGCATTTTGAATAAATAAAATGATAGTAAATAGTGTGTTGGTCTATTGTCAATTAATGTCTACTTTTTATACACATTCTTATCTTCCCAAATTTTAAATTTCTATTTGAAACAATAACCAAGGGGCATATTTTTCAGACGCCTAAGGATGTTTTGTTCCATCACTGTGCGGTAGCTTATTTATGCATTTCTACTACTTACTAAGAGACTATGAGAGAAAATCCCAAAAAATCTGGAGAACATCCACTTATTGGTTAAACTACAGACACCATTTAAAATACTTTTCACTTGCTCTTCTTATTGTTCTTATTTTCAGATTCCAGATCATTTTATATCAATTACAATAAACTGTAATATACTAATGTGATGAATTCGAATCCCAACAAAAATTTCGCCTGCGGCGCATTTTTTGCCATAGGAAAATTTTGTCTGAGTTTCTTGGCCGCTCCCGGTATGCACTGAAATCGAGTTATTACCTGAAAGCATTTGACCTTGAACCCAGAAAAAATTCGCCTGCGGCGCATGAAGATTTTGTCTACATTTTTTTTCTGTGTTTTACTTCTCATCCTTGTACAAGTAGTTGAAGTTATGAAGTCATCAGGTATTATAGTTAAAAAATGTGAAAAATTCTCTAGAGGGGCGGCACATTAGGTTTATGCACGCGGGCGGCCGACACCCTAGGATCGGCCCTGATAGCAGTAGAAAAATTCTTCTTTGAACATGATATAAGTGGTAACAAAACAGGTGGCACCTATGTCGCAATCAAAAACCTCATAATACGAAGTATTTTGACTTCACACCAAATTAAATGATTTTACTTTAAAAATATAGTGATAAAATTCAATATGAACAAATAATGATATTTCGCTCATTTATAAAAATCGACAGTTGCTATCAGTAAACAAACAGAAGAATTTTTATTTTCCTTAATCCATATCTATTTCTAGGATCTTACTTTCAATATGTACATTACATAACAAGCCCAAAAGCATGTAAACAGTGATAAAAAAAACATATTTTGAACGAGCTATGGGGAGCAGTGAATATGATGAGGTTCAGATTATATGTTGTGCTTTGAGTTTCTTGCATTTTATTATGATACACTAAAATTACAACAAGTGAGTTACATTACTAATTGAACCCCCAGTGTAACCAGAACTAATATATTTCAATTCCTTTGAATATAATTTATTCTCAAAATTACAGGGTGGTCCAATTAACCCCCTCTAACGTTCTTGTTTATAAGATATTTCTCAATCTTCAGTTCACAGTGTGCTCATAAAAAAAACTGGACGAATGAAATCAGAGACTAAACAAAATATTTTTCAATGCAAAATCCTTTATATTCTATAGATTGTAAAAAATACAATTCCACTTCCAGATGTAGGACGAAATTTCCGGCATACCTAGTGTCAACGAATCTATTAGAGAATATTCGGTGCATTAAAATGGAATTTGATATGGGTATATGGTATGTGAAGAGGAATGTTTTCGCATATTTTTCACGGTTCTGGTTTTGAATTTTCAAGTGGAACACCCTGTATATTATAATATTTTTGAATTCCTGAGACAGAATATGACAATCTCAGAAGATTTTACGCCTACTTATTTTTTTTTTTTTGGGTAATTTATAATATTGCATCTAGCTAGGTCAAGGGGTGGTTCCCTCGCCCAAAAACCGTACAAAAAGATTGCATTTGCTAATATGGGACGGAATTGGACAGGACAGGATTGAACATAATTTGACAATATTGGATAATAATGGACATAGTTGATAGAGATTGGACAATATTGGTCGGGGTTGGACCAGATTGGACGGATTGCTTGATATTGGACCGACTGTTTTGTCGCTACTTCCAGTCGTCGAACTGCCCACGAAATGAACCAGGCACCTAGGCACCTGAACTAACTGTCTGGATTGGACAGAATGGACCAAGTCTGAACGAAATGGACCAAGATATTTTCATGTTCTGGTTCTCACGAAAAGGGATATCCTGTAATGTTCAGAGAACATCGTGAGAACCAAGGGAAATAAGGTTAGGAATTGGTAGGAATTAGGAAAGAGATGTTCTGCAGGTCTCCAATGTGACCACGAAGGGGTGCGAAGCCTCAACTCGACGGGTAAATCTCGCGGGGACTGCCAAGGGAGGTACAATTGTTGATATTTCAGAAGAGCATTGTCCATGAAAATATCTAAAAAATAGAGCCAGATCGCTAACTTTTCTACGGTGTTCCAGAGAAGTGAGTGAGTTTGTGAGCGAGGCATCACCCACGAGACGAATGGCCCTTTTTTGGGCAGAATCCAACAGTTTCAGAGTATGTTTGGATGCTGCACTCCAAATATGGGAACAGTATTCTAGGACCGGTCGGACTGACTGACTGGAAGTGAAATAGCTTCTGGCCCGAAACAGAAATCCAAGTTTTAGGGATGCACTTTCAGCAATTGATCTCAGGTGATTTTCCCAAGAAAGGTTATTGCTGGATGTCTTCAAAGGTATGGTTACTCCTGAAAAGCTTATGCTGGGCACAGTGAGATCGATTTTACTATAGAGAAAAGGCATGCTTGTGTTTTGTTTGCATTGAAATCTACCAAGTTATTGGATCCTCATTCGAGAATTGTTGCTGATTCCATATTTTTGTTGTCAACATTTCTTCCTCGTTTGTTTCTGATTTGCTTGGCTGGTATTGGAGCCCTGGAAGAGAAGGATTGGACGGAATGGACCAAGATTGGACGTAATAGACTGATATTGGACATAATGGACCAAGATTGGGCGGAATGGACTAGGATTGGTCATAATTGTGATGAGATTGGATGGAGTGCATCGGGATGGGACGCAGAGAGGATGGCCTAAAATGGACCAAGACTGGACATATAGGCTCACTAATTGACGGATTGGACTCAGAATGGACGGATATTGAACGTATAGGACTAGGATTGGTCATATTTGTTTGAGATTGGTCATATTGGTCAAGATTAGACGGATTACATCGGGATCGGACGCAGAGTGTACACATATTGGACCTAGTGGACACCTCGAGCTAGGTATAGTCATGATATGACGTAAACTTATCTCAGGAAAATTATAATTGTAAGGTTTTAGCATAGATCTAAATACACATTTAGATCTTTGGTTTCAGTGACTAGTAAGATAGATAGAAGACAAATAGACAAAATTACATTTTCGTGTCTTGACCATTATTTTTCAACTGACAATGTTTTTTCTGATTTTGATGAAAAATTTTACTCGAACAGAAATAATGACCAGTTCTACCAATTATTTATAAATTTAAGAAGGCAAGTTGACTTCTCCCGTCACTTTGAAGTATTCGTCAAAGAATAATCAATCACAAATCAGCGACAAACTTCACGAAATAGACACAATTGATATCTTTATGAGTGGAAAATAGCTAATTCAAGGACAGATTTCCCAAGTGATATCGTGGAAGCAATACAAAATGCACAATTCAATCCATATTTTCATTACGTAACTGGTGTTGAAATGAACATTTCATCACCAGTTGCGTAATAATTTACTTTACGCATCTAGTTACGTGGAGTAAGACGTTTAAAAACTTCCGTCAGTTTTTGAAAGTGTAAAATTACATGTCAAAATAAGAACATCTCATGTTGCCATATGACTTCAAATGAGGTCACGAAAAAAAAACGAAATCGCAGATATTCGATTTTTTCCAAATATCTTCTAAAGTATTCGGAATTTCCAAAACTTTTGATGTAACATGTATCAGCATGACATTGCGTAACTGTGCCCCAATTCAACCTACTCTGTATTTGTTATGGTTACTGAGATCCCAATGTTACCACTCGAAATTGGGACACCCTGTACATAGTTGATTATACTTATTTCATATTCTTTCTCACTTATTGCTTGAAAACTCAATGTATTATTGCTTTCATTTTGTTAGATGATGTTTTCTTCATTACACTCTGAGGATGAAAAAAGTCCCACCAAGTGGATTTTAAAAGTTATATTGGATATTTATCTCGATATTTATGGTACATAAATTGTTTCAATATCAACCATTTTCACTGCTCCTCAACTTTCAGATAGTTTTCTTTATTGAACGCTATTTACTACAACAAAATATATAAGAAAAAAATAAATACTACTTACGATAAGATCTTTCTGCTGTATATTCCCCAAAATGACAACATGCAAAGAAAATCGAAATGAGAAAACGACAATCACCAAATAGATGTACATACACCGAATCATAGAATGAGATTATTGTGCAATAGTGATAAATGGACCCCCCAGCATTTTTCAATGAATCAGGAATTAACAGAAAAACATCAGGTTACTTCTAGCATGAAATATTGAAAATTTTTTTCATATCTAATGCAAATATCTGATTTATATTGAAAGTTGACATAGTGATCTCAGTCTCATTTAGAAGGACATAATATTTTGCTTTGATCAGGGCATAATATTTTGCTCTGATTAGAGCACAAAATCGAATCGAAGACTATTCAGGAGACATAAGCTGATGATGAATACTTGATTGTCCAAAACATGTTTCCTGGTTATCAAACGTTATGGGGACGATCTAATGTTTTATGATACCATCATAGTAATCGTAATAGTAAACTGTATGACTTCGAAAAATCGACAATGATTGAACAATTGAACATTCCACTCACTGGTGACCGATTATTCTGACAATAGTGTAACAGGTATAATGGATTTTTCAGCGAAAATGTTAAATTAAAATCTCAACCCATAGAGAATTTTATGCAAAATCCAGTGGCGCACAAAAGTTTTTTTTTCGGGGTGTGGTTTTCAAGATACGACTCATACTTTTGATTTTTTAAATTGAACACCCTGTATTTTACAAGCTCATTAAATTCCTTATTTTTTTCCCCTTCGAAATGATATATGATGATGATGTATGAATATAACATTTTCAAAAATGTTCAAAAATCACTAAAACATTGAATTTTAATAGTGGGCTATGGGTTTTTCGAGGGATTTTCATGAAAAGAAATTTACAATTGAAGGAATATTTCCTTTGATTGTTCAATGACGGGGGAAATAACAATTTCAACAATAATTAACGTTCAATACACAAAACTTAGATACCTGATATCCACAAATATATAGTAATAAAAAGTTTATAATGTAGAATAAGCACCTGATTGAATATCTACTAAAACAATTGAATTCCGAAATTATTCAGTGATTTATTCATTGAATTGTTCAAATTGATGTCCATTTTCCATCACAAACTTTCTCAATACATATTAATCATTGAAAGATGTCTTTGTAATTCCTGGAAAACTGCCTCTGTTGTTGCACAAAGTTCTTCAAGTATGTTGGGCCACTCACTGTATTAAGAAGTATTAAGAAAGTTTGTCAACTGTATGTTAGAGAAAATGGATATCAATTTGAACATGTCAATGAATAAGTTACTGAATGATTCCGGAATTCAATTGTTCTAGTTAATATTTAATCAGGTGCTTATTCTACATAATAAACTTTTTATTACTATTTATTTGTAGCTATCAGGTACCCAAGTTTAGTGTTTTGTTAATTAATAAGTGTTGATATTGGTTTTGACCTCTCCATGGAAAAATTTGAAGAAATATTTCTTCATTTGGAACGTTTTTTATGAGAAAAATCCATAACCAACTATCAAAATTCAATATTTTAGTGATTTTGAGCAATTTTGAAAATTTTATATTCATTCGTTATATATCATTTTGAAGACAAAAAAAATAAGGAATTTAAGGAGCTTATGAAATACAGGGTGTTCCATTTAAAAAATCGTAAGTTTGAGTCGTATCTCCAAAACCATACCCCGAAAAAAATTTTAAATGCGCCACTGGATTATGCGTGAAATTGTCTATGCGATAAGATTTTGATTTGACATTTTTTTTTGAGAAACTTCGTGGATATGGAGGGGTCCAAATAGTATAAATTTTCAAAATCGCCCTGTATCTCAAAAACGGAAACAGTCTTGCAAAATCTGATTAAGCCATCTTGAGTTTCACAAAAAAGTGGCACAGGACCGCGAAAACCGCAAGGTTCTATTTCCAAAGATAACTGAGATATCAGGCAAAAGCATCGAAAACTGGACACACTGTACTGTGAGTGATGTTGATTCAAATACCCTACCCGTGCAGCGAAGGCTCTGTGAATGAGCGACGGACTCAGATACATGTTGATTCAAATACCCGTGCAGCGAAGGCGCTGTGAATGAGCGACGGTCTCAAATAGAGGTTGATTCGGTAGCCCGTGTCGCAGATGCACTGTGAGTGAGCGACGGATTAAAATACTTGTTGATTCGAATACCCGTGCAACGAAGGCACAATGAATGAGCGACGTACTCAAATACCCGTTGTTGATTCAAATACCCGTGCAGCGATAGCTCTGTGAATGAGCGACGGACTAAATTAGCGGTGGATTTGAAAGCTCGTATCGCGGATGCACTGTGAGTGAGCGACGGATCCAAATAGCTGTGGATTCAAATACTCGTGTAGCGGAGGCACTCTGAATGAGCGGATGTACCCAAATAGCGGTGGATTTGAATTACCTTGTCGCGGAAGCACTGTGGGTGAGCGACGAACTCGAATAGCGGCGGATTTGAGCGAAATCACTGTGAATGAGCGACGGTCTCGAATAACAATAGATTGGAATGTACGTGTCTCAAAGGCCCTGTGAGTGGTCGACATACTTAAATAGACGGCAAGAGGAAATCTCAAACAATCAGAGATATGTATGATCTTTGGTCAGTTCAATCATTGTCGATATGTTGAAGGGGTCCATTTTAAGAAGTGATAAAATACAGTGCGACGCCTGATTTCATGCAACTTCTTCAAGTAAACTGAGTATGTACAAGGATATTCGACGGAAGCATTATTAAGGAATTCAATGGAACTTACCGCACCAGCACTTTTAGGGGATTTCGAGGCAGCGACATAGGCCAAATACTGGATAACTTTTTTCGTATTTTCGGTTTTACCTGCACCAGATTCACCAGTGCAAAGGATAGACTGATCTTCTCGCTCTAAAAACAAAAAATGTTTTTGAATAATTTGTTTCTCGAGTCACAAATTTGCATTTTTTTGCTAGTAGTTCAATTGATTTCTTAGATCTACAGAGATGTATTCTTTAGTGTGAATTATTGTTCCTAGTATTTTGTGCCGTTAACAATTCACTGATGAAATATGAAAAAAATGTTCCTATCAACAAAATGTCAAAAAACGGTTATATTTAATATAAAGGGTGTTTCACATCGTCATCGTATAAACTAGATATTCAAATTAAACTTCATGTAAACTTGTCTGTTTTAGACCTTCGTATTCGAGAGGCAATGTGTTGAAATTTAAAAAAAAAAGTTATTTATTATACAAGAGAAAAAACAAGTAGTAGATTTTAGGGAGGGAATAATATTTTTTCCTTGTATAAGACACTATTTTTTTCTGTGACAAGAAAAATGACGAATCAATATTGAGAAAATATTACATTACATTGAAATCAGATAATTATCGACGTGAAATTTGAAGTTTTTAACAGGAATTACACCTGCATTGCAGGCATCTTTTTGCAGGCATCTTTTTGCAGGCATCTTCTTCATTTTTTTGAAGTAGTCAAATATCTGCCTAATCTGTTTAATTGTCATTTGATTTCAACAAATTGAGAACTTAGTGGTGTTTACTAATTTACGTAACCGCGAAGTGGAATGAGATAAAAGGAATTTTTTTATGTTCTGGTTCCCACGAAAAAGGAATTCCTGTTCTTTCTCGGAGACGGTGTTATTGGCATATTTTTCAGAACTAGCACATCAAACGCCATCAACAGGGTGAAATTCAATGGATAGCTGAAAATAAAGGATATGGTTCCTTAGCTCATTTTGAGAAGAAAAGTTTATATGAAAAAAATTTAAGAAAAAAATAGTTTTCTTATCATAACTTCAATACCGTTCTAGATATTTTCATGAAATACAGCTGGAAAAGTTGCAGTGCGCAAACGTGAAAAAAATCATCACGTTTGCGTCAAAAAAATAAAAAAAGTATGAGAGAACGTAACAAATGCGTGACGATTTGTTTAATACGGATTTTTTACGTTTTTTATGCATACGTGACGTTTTTCTTTCACGCTTGCGCGCTTATTTATCTTGAAGATAGAAGAAAACTTGTTTTTACTTTTTATAATATTATAGTACCATTTTTATTAACCATATTATTTACAACTATCTGGACCTGTCTCATGTCATGTATATAATCAAAAGAGATTAATTAATAATAGTATATTATTCAACGAGCGCATAATGATGATGGCTATTACCCACGAAGATGAAAGTTGCAGTACGAGCCGAAGGCGAGTGCTGTAATCATCTGAGTGGGCAATAGTCATTATGTGCGAGTAGAATACTATACTTTATCTACAACTATTCAAATATCAAAGCAACTCTGAGAGTTCAAAAATATATCTTTGGAAATAAAGAAGGTTATTATATTGCAAAATCACTAAACCTGATTTGAAATACTCATTAATTTCATCGAAAATTTATTGACAGAAATTTCAATCAACGAACAGCCTATTACTTATTTCAATAATTGTGATTGTGAAAATATGATAATCAATGTTGGACCTAACTTTTATTAACAGGAAAGAAGTCGTGCAATCGCATATCAGTCAATCTTACTATCAATCATACTATTGCAAAAGAAAAAACAAAAGACTCAAAGTCAGTCGACCACACATTTATATAACATCTATATCGTCAAAAACATGTTACCGATTTCGGCACAACGGCTATCATCAGACAAAAAGTACCTGTAAATATAAATTAGATAATACAGTATGAAGAAAGAAGAAATACAAAACCTACCGACAAAATTATGGGCACACTATAACATCATTAAAAATTAAGTTGAAAAAGAAAAATCATGTTGTATGGCAGAAGATTCATCACCGGGTTTTCAGGCTCAGGCACAAATGACCATCTTGAATTTACTGAAGAACCAGAAAAAACTGGCTCTGATAAGGTTGAACATCTTATCCAAAAAATTGTTTTTTATAAAATTGATATCATGCTAAGCTAAAAGCAACATATCAGAATAAGACAAAGAAATAAAAGAATTTGATGGTCGACAAAGACTTTGACATATGACAGTTGTACATGGAACAACAAACAAGAGTGAAGGTTATAGACTAACAACAGAACTAAGAAAGTAAGTAACCTAAGAAGGAAGAAAAAAGGGGAAGAAAAAGGAGGAAGAAGGCAAGGTGAAGAGAAACCATGGAGAAGAGGAGAAAATGGAAAGGTCACAGAAACAAGAAGAGGAGTAAGTGTAGCGTCTAGTGGAGAACAAGAGACAGAAACAGAAGAAGAAGAGGAGAAATTGTTACTTCGGAAACTCCAGTGGCGGGGTAGCAACTACCAGAAAGGAACGAGCAGGAACGAGCAGATATAGATAACTTTATTTCAAAATTGAATAACTGCTTCCCCTCTATCAAATTCACTTATGAATGCGAAAATCAAGGCAAATTACCTTTCTTAGATGTACTTGTGATCAAAAATAGCGAAAACAACTTAGAATTTGATGTCTTTAGAAAAGAAACTAACACATTTAGATACATACCTAATGACTCCAATCACTGTTTTCAGCACAAAATAGCAAGTTTAAATTTTCTAGTACACAGATTGATTTCATTTCCTTTCAGCAAAGAAAGATTCAATGCTGAAAGAAATGTTGTTTATAAAGTGGCTGGCGTCAATGGGTATGATATCCAAATAGTAGATAAATTAATACGTAGACATAAATTTAAGTTAACACTTCGATATTCTACGACTTTTCAAGCGGATAAAAAAAAACTCTAGAAGAATCCCAATCCCGTACAATCCCAAGTATACGAAGGGACTCGATAAGGTTTTCAAAGACTTAGGTTTTGAAAGCGTTTATCAGTCTGGGTCAAAATTAGGCAATTTATTAGGCAATCCGAAAGATAAAGTGGACACACTTGAAACGTCGGGAATATACGAAATAAGTTGTAATGATTGTGATAAAACATATATAGGCCAAACCAGGCGACCCATAAAAACAAGGTTCAAAGAACACATAGCCCATTTAAAATATGGCAGGTTAGATAAATCTTGTGTAGCCGAACATTAGTTCAATCACAATCATAACACACATATTACTAACCTCAAATTAGTTAAGCAAGTTAATAACATTAGAAAACTAGACGCATATGAAAGTTGAGAGATATTTAAGAATAGTAATAGAGTAATAAATAAGGATAATGGACCTATTCCATATAGCCCTCTATATAGTTGAGTAAAATAAAAATTAAGATTAACATGTGAACTCAACCATGACAAACATTAACTTGACGGTTAGTATTTTTCACAGTTGGGTGAACATATACCTAGTATATAAGCAGCACACTAGAATAGGATATTTAGTTTTAATCGTCTCCTGAAGATGCTAACATAGTTAGCGAAACACGTGTCGAGGCGTTAAAAAATCGGTTTGGTTAGTGGTAAAACAGTGTAGTGTAATACCTACCTAGTTGAATTTGACTAGACGATGGGATGTCAGATTATTACGCCATCCTACTGTCATTATTACTCGATTCATCACAATAATTTATGTCATTAAATGTTGAAAATCGAGTTAGCAATGTATGAATGACTCCATAATTATTGTAAATAAAAGTATCTGTCTATCTACCTACCTATCTATCTATCTATGGGAGACATACGGGCAAACTTGACTCGTATTACCAAATTCAGCATGAAACATTTACCTTGTAACATAGACCGATAGGCAGTGTCCGTAATGGCGAATACGTGTGGAGGAACTTCGTGCCTTTTGATGCCCTTATACCTTTCCATGATTTTCTCTGTGTAGATTGGCAGCTTCTTGTAGGGGTTGACCACTACGCAGAAAAGCCCGGAATATGTCTGCAATCATAAAAAAATACTCTATTAGAACATCATGACATAATCAACATATCTTTTGAGGGAAAAGTTATAATAATAATAATGATATAATGTTGTACAGAGTGTTTACGAAATTGGGGCGATAAATAAAATGGGCTTTTTTGTATAAGACATCTTCTAACTATTATTGAACGTCCGGCTACACATCAGAAATCATTGGTACCTCCGGTGTTTCCGGCCTCGACGAAAGCAAACGCTTGGGTTCAACGATCAACCTCTGATAAATGATTTACAGAAGTATCAGGCAAACTCTTTGAAGCTCAATATCTTCCAAAATATTTCTTCCCAAAAATGAATTGCTGCTTTTTGGTTTGTTTAGAGAAACAAACTAAAAATATGCTTATTTTCTTTATATCGAATGAACTGTAATAAATCTATACCTACTTGATGATCCAATATTCATGAAAAGACATCAAGATATTATTTCATTTACTCATGGTCGCTTATACATTTGATTTATTTCCGAAAAAATCGAGTGTGTGAGAATATCAGGGTATTGATAATTGCACTGTTCATCATTCTCAAAAAAATATTGATGTGTTATTTTCTCAAATGTCAAACTGTGCTCGAATTGAGGTCAAGTACCACCTAATCTCCTGGAGACCGGTTTCATGTGAAGGGAATTCCCATCAGACAGAAATAGGTGGATCTCCGTCTCAAGTGATAGCTGACCTAACAAAAGCATAATCCAGCATTCATAAACAAGAGATAATAATCTCAACCCGACTTTTTCGACTTCGAATAGCGCCATCTGATGACATTCCAAAAATAAATCCTCATTTCAGTGAGATATCGATGACGAGAGTCTCTTAGAATTAGTAATCAAAGCGCTATGGGGTGATTGATACATAGATGCACGTTTAAATGGGAATATCTGGTTAATAATGTACGTTGTGATTGTAGACTTTGTAGCTCGTATTCTGACATGTATAGTCAGAACTATAGCACTAATCCTCGGATCTCTACGCCTTGAAACAAATTTTCACACTCAAGTGGGCCAGTATAACCAAGCCGATGACATGATAGAAACTGTCATTGAAAGCATGCTGGTTGCTCAAAATCTGCCTAAAAGCAAACAAAAAAGATACCACCATTTCAAACAGATGATTTTTTTTCAAAAGAAAGAAACTGTAGGCTAGTAATCTCACGGCCACCCAGTATAAATATTCATTTTGTCATATTTTTCAAGAACCCACTGCCGAATAAACATCAGTTCATTTGTATGTGATAAACGTGTCCCTATAGGCGATACGATAAAAATGTACAAAGCATGACTAACGTTGATGTTGATGAAGATAAAATGTGTAAAGCTGGTAAGTTTGCTGAATACATTTTTAGCCATTACCAATAAACCACGGACTTCAAGGCAGTATGTGAGTCACAAGCATAATTAATTTCAAGATAGGAGGTTCGGATATCCACTAAAAGAGTAGAAATAATGATATTGACAAAATTTAAAAGGAAGGATTCTAAATTCAGAAATGATAACAAATGATGATTGAGATTTTTTCCCAAATTAATGTGACACTTTAAATTATTTTCCTTCCCAATTGTTTAATTTATTTCGTTTTAAGCAACAATCGAGAAAACAACAACTTAATAATTTTGATATTCTGAACTGTTCAAGGCAACAAACATAACATGGTTTAAGTTCACGATCAATGATTCAGTTGAAGAACTTCAATTTATTATTCATTCTATGCAAGCACACAAGAAAATTTGGACAATTTCCGCGAAAAATTTCGATGCCGCTAGTTTCGCTGCTTCAACTAACTCCGATGGAGTAAAAGAAAACTTGAAATCAGTCAATAACATTTTATTATTCGAAATAACTACTAAACATAACCACTAAGTTCGCAATTGTTAAATCAAATCACAGAATTGAATTTGCAGATATTCGGAATCTTTAGAGGTTTTTTTAGCAACGTTGCTGGGTTGCTGCTAAAGGTACAACAGTCTACCAGTTTAAAACTTCGAATTTTATATATTTCTATGATATATATACAATGTCTCATAAAAGCAATGCAGTTATCAGAAAATTTCAGAGGTTATTGCACTGCAGTCGAATATAACACAGCGAAAACACCCCGTCGCCATAACAACACATTCGAAACCGATTCTCTAGACGCCAGTAAACAATACTAATAAATGTCCAGATAGACTTCAAATAGTAAAAAAATAAATGTCGGGTTTCGGTGAGTGCTCTATAGAATCTAAATGTCTTATAGCATATTTTATTTATAATATATTTGTCAGTATTATGATATTTCTCAGAATAAAAAAAACATTTCTTCAAGAATTTCTCCATTTGTGAAATATTCCAATGAATTACATTAGTGCATAAAAATTACGAAATAATTTTGTGAAAGCTTCCTCCTTTGGACTCGGGCTCATTCGCCAAAATATGAAAAAGTAAACTACTACAATTTTTGAATAGCACACTTTTTTATGTTCTGGTTCCCACGAAAAGGGATATCCTGTAATGTTCAGAGAACATCGTGAGAACCAAGGAATTGGTGTTCTTCTTGAATTTCTGGAAGTTATACAGGATGTCTGTAAAAGGTCCTCATATTCCTTAGACCAAAATAAGTCGATTTAAGTAAAATTACCTCAGTACAAAGTTGCATCGTTTGGGCTCCAGAGGGCCTTGAAGTTACGATATAAATTTAAAACGGCATATGCGATTTTGCTGAAATTTGGTATATTGATAGATTTTTATGTGGCAAAAAAAATGGTGTTAAAATTTTGTCCTATTATAATACATAGGCGTAGAACTTGATTTTTTGAATAATTGCTGTTTATATGTTCTATAATTACTAAAATGCAAATTTCGTCAAAACCATGAGAGCAATCGAGTCTTATCAGGAGTACCTTTTTTAATGTAAATGAGTTGCGCAATCTAAATTTCATATTCAAACTCCTTTTATTTTATTGGCGTAGAATTGTTGAAGGTGCAATTATTAAAAAAAATCAAGTTCTACGCCTATGGATTAATATCGGACAAAAATTTAACACCATTTTTTTGCCACATAAAACTCTATCAATATACCAAATTTCAGCAAAATCGCATATGCCGTTTTAAATTTATATGGGAAAAACGATTAAAAAATTGTAACTTCATGGCCCCCTGGAGCCCAAACGATGCAACTTTGTACTAAGGTAATTTTATACTTAAATCGACTTATTTTAGTCTGAGGAATATGTGGTATGTTTTTGTTAAGACCTTTCACAGACACCCTGTATGCCTCGGGGAACACCTCCCTTGGCAATGTGTTCCAGGGCCTCGCTATTCGTTGGATGAACGAGTCTTTGGAAATGTTTTGCAGGTCTCCAAACGAAGGGGTGCAAAGCCTCTACTCGACGGGTTAATCTCGCGGGGACTGCCAAGGGAGGAACAATTGTTGATATTTCAGAAGAGCATCGTCCATGAAAATATCTATAAAATAGAGCCAGATCTATAGCAAGATTATCGGTAATTTTTATGCACTTGTGCAAATATTACCGATTTTCTGATTTCATACAGTGTGTCCCTGCTAAAACTTGTCACCCCCTTTATCTCCGTGAAAATCACTCGGACAGGTCGATTAAAATTTTGCGGGGGACAAATTTTTCTGTAACTACCATATCCCAAAGTTGAAACCTTGAAGCGGAAAGGACATCAAATTTCGATTCTCAAATGGAACAGATACAGGGTGATCAGAATCTCTGAAAATTGTCTGAAGCTCATTGAAAATTATAAAAGGATTTTGTATGTTTTTATTCAAAAATCGACATTTTTCTCGAGAACTGTTAACTCCAGTGCATTGAAGCAAGAGGAGCTTTTTTGTGTGAAAGATTATGGCGCTTCAGAATGTGCTTTGAAAATTACAATTTCTCCATTGGCATGAAAGTTTGGGGGGTTAAACCCTTACGAGGCGTTAAACTCTCCGCCACTGACATGTCCGAGGAAATGGATCAAAAGCCTTAGAAGTAGTCATCATCGTTTTTTTTTATCGCTTGGAGCGCACGAAAGGAAATCCCTATAATGTTCAAAGAACATCGTGCGTTCCTAGAGAGGATAGGGACAGGAGGTAGGTATTGGAATTTTCTTTCAACTTCTGGAGATTATAAATGTTGTTGGGAATACTTCCTCAGGTAAAGAATTCCAGAGCATAGCCGTTCTATGGATGGAGAAGTTTTGATAAAGTGCTGTTCGACATCTTTCGAGGTTGACAACGAAAGGATGTGCTGACTGGGCTTGTCTAGTTCGTCTGACTGGTGTTGCTAATGAAGGGATGATAGCAGAGATTTCCGAAGAACATGTCCCGTGGAAGTATCGATAGAAAAGTGAAAGGTCGCCGACGTTTCTACGGTTTTCCAATGATGTCAAAGAGTGAGTGAGTGTGTCGTCACCCACCAGGTGAATGGCTCTTCTCTGGATGGAATCTAAGAGCATCAGCGTATGTTTTGGTGCTAAACCCCATATGTGTGAACAGTATTCTAGAACAGGCCGTATCTGCGCTTTGTAGATCATGAAAAGCTGTTGAGGTGTAAAGTAGATTTTCGCACGGAAAGAGAATCCGAGTTTTTGTGAAGCAGCTTTTGCGATGTATCTGACATGATTATCCCATGAAAGAGTGTTGCTGATGGAAATACCGAGCATAGAAATGGTGGGCTTGGTGGTGACAGACATTACAATGTCGGGCATACTGAGTTCCGACTTTCTAGAGAAAATACAGACTTGAGTCTTGGTGGCGTTGAATTCAACTAGGTTGTTGGTTCCCCAGGCTGTGATTTCAGCAAGGTCTTCATTGACAGCATTGACCTGCCTGCGCCGTGAAGAAATGGGAATTCTGGAAGAGAACGCAGTATGGAGGGTACTATCATCTGCAAAGCTGTGGATGGGGCAAGTTGTTACTCCTAACAGATCATTGATATGAAGCAGAAATAAAGTTGGTGCCAAAATTGATCCTTGTGGTACGCCGGAATTGATGCTAATGGTATCAGACGATACACCGTCCACCACC